CTCTGGAGCAGCAGAAAACAAGCTTGCTTCATCCTCAATATGACATTCTTCAAATATTTCAACATGGCTATTGTGTCCCCCCCATAATCTTCCCTTCTCCAGGCTAAACATAGCCAGCTCCCAGCTCCACTCCTTATAGGACATGGTTTCCAGACCTTTCACCATTTTGGTTGCTCTCAGTAATTTAGTAATGGTCAGTCAGGAGACTAAGCTGTAAGGGAAGAAGTCCTTTTTGCTGCCACATAAATTGTAGAAGACATCCATGCAAGATCCAGCATAGTGTAGCTTTTGAGTGTTGGACAGTGACTCCAAGAGACCAGGGTTTGAATTTCTGCAGAGCCATGGAAAACCCTTGAATGACCTGGGACAAGATATACTCTATATTCTCAAGATCCAGGAAATCAAAGGAAAATTCAAACCAAGGACTGGGATGATCTATGACAATAAAAATAACATAATTCAAAACCAGGAAGGAATTAAAAAGACGTTGGATGTAATACACAGAAGAATTATGCAAAAGAAATGACAAATATGGCTCTGGTGTCACGACAAGCTACAACTCCCAGAATTCCATAGCATGGAGCCACGGCAATTAAAGTGGCGTCAAACCAGATTACCTTTGCCGTGAGGATGCAGCCTTTGTCAACTTTCCAGGAAAGTTCCCAAGAGAAGAACAAATCTTTTGGGCTGTTTCTCTTGATTGATCCAAGACATTTTTTTGCCCAAGGCAGGACAGCAGATGACTTTTGCAAGTCAAGGGCACAAAGCCCCCAAAGCCAGTCAAATTGCATTGGCACAGGAGATATTAAAATCCCACAAATACCCCCCACCTTTGCTTTTAGAATCATAGAATCCTAGAGTTGGAAGAGACCCCAAGGGCCATCCAGTCCAACCCCAGTCTGCCATGCAGGAACTCAAAATCAAAGCATTCCCCGACTGATGGCCATCTAGCCTCTGTTTAAAGAACAGAGTCTCACTCTCTTAGAATCACTCTCTTGGTTATTATTTTAAATGCAATCATAACAAATCAGAATCACAGAATCTTAGAGCTGGAAAGGGACACAAGGCTCATCTACTCCAGCCCCTTGACATGCAGGAATACACAAGTACAGCATTCCTGAAAGATGCTTATCCAAACTCTATTAAAAGACCCCAACACTCCAAATCTGCCTCCTTCTATTTAATGGCAGAGGCCATGTGGAGTAATGTAATTTTAGATGTGACCATCCTGATGTTGCTGAACCACAAGCTCCAATGTGCCTTACCATAAAGTGATGCTGTCTAATAGTGGCATCCGGTGCAGTAACTTGTGGTGTCACCCCCCCCCCCATTGACCTCCTCCCATTTCATGCCACACAGAATCCTTAGTAATGCTTTTTTGCACAAACGTTCCTCGTAAATCATAGTTCCCGTAATACCGCTGAATGTCATGCTAAGAGCTGTGACAGAAACGACTAGCAAAATGGAAATTGGACCTTCGAATGACAATATCATATACACAGCCTAAGTGTATTTACATCTGCATAGTGAAGATTTGGTTAAAATGTGATTTTTTTAAAAAAGAAAAATTTAAAAAGAATTTTAAAAATTCAAAATTGAAAATTTGAATTTTTTAAAAAATTGAAATTTTGAATTTTTTAAAAATTCTTTTAAAATTTTTCAAATCACATTTTAACCAAATCTTCACCTTTCTCCTCCCACTGAACTCCATCCCACTCCCACCATCTCCTAAAGCATTTTTAAAGGGAAGCAGGTGAATGCCACAGCCCATTTCTGCCAAAAGCTTGGTGTTTGGGGAACAGTAGTATCACCCTCCGCTTTAAGGGTGTCACCTGGTGCAGTCTGCACCCCACCCAGAGATGCCACTGCTGTCTAGGACTGCTGGGAGTTGCAGTCCAACAATATCTGGAAACTGCATGACTCTCGCCCTGATTCCAAGAGAGTGAGACTGAGTCTTGGGAGATCTAGTTCAGAGTCCCTGCTTGGCCATGAAAGGTGTGGTGAATTTCTTGCACGATTCTCCTTCCCTTCCTCTGGGCCTATTCTACCTCACAAGGTTGTTGCTGGAAAGAAAAAGGAGGGAAGAGAAAGTGACCCCTGCAGATTGCCTTGAATTCATTGGAAGGAGGGGAAAAGGCAGAATATAGAAACAGAAGATCATGGAAATAATCAAAACTTGAGCTAACCAAAACTGGCTTTATAAAATAGGTATCATTTATTTATATACTGCCCAAGCCCAACCTGGGGTGCATCTGCACTGCAGGAATAATGCAGTTTGATGCCACTTTAAGTGCTGTTGTTCCATCTCCTGGGATCCTGGGAAGGGCAGTTTTCCAAGGCCTTTCGCCTTCACTGCCAAAGCGTGGGGGTGCCTCACCAAACTACACATCCCAGGCATCTGTCAGAGGGAGCCATGCCAGTTAAAGTGGTGTCAGACTGCATTATTTCTACCATGTAGATGCACCTGTAGTCCACAGTATGTAGTCTACGCTTGTATGGGTTTATTTTTCTTCTATGGCTTGCTCTCTGTGTGTTTGTTCTGTGCCTTCAAGTCATTTCTAACTTATGGGGACCCTAAGGCGATACTATCATGGGGTTTTCTTGACAAGATTTGTTCAGAGGAGGTTTGCCGTTGCCTCCCCCTGAGGCTGAGAATGTGTGACTTGTCCAAGGTCGCCTAGTGGATTTCGTGGCCTAGTCAGGAATTGAACTCTGTTCTCTAGAGTCATAGTTCAGTACTCAAACCACTATGCCACCTAGTCAATATCATATAATCTAAGCTTTTCTGAGTTTGAGAGCCAGTCTGGTATAGTGCTTTGAGTGCTGGACTACAACTCTGGAGACCAACGTTCAAATCCCTGCTCAGCCTTGAAACCCATTGGGTGACCCTGGGCAGGTCACACTCTCTCAGCCTCAGGAGAGCGCAATGGCAAACCTCCTCTGACCAAATCTTCTTGAGAAAACCCCATGATAGGTTCCCCTTGGGGTCACCATAAAGTCAGAAATGACTTGAAGGCACACCACACCACCAAGATCCAAGTTTATTTATTATTTATTTATTTGGAGTATTTATACTCTTGAACCACAAAGGCTCTCAAAGCGGCTTAGGAAAAGGTTCCTTAGACAAATGCATCTGAGGAAGGAGACTGAAGTCTAGGCCGCTTGAACTGCCCTGGTTCAGTGCTGGGGATAATGAGAACTGTAGTTTATTGTGGCCTCTGACAGAGAAGGCTCAATGTCTCACAAAACTCCAGTTTCTCACTGAGCACTGAGCAGTTAGTTAAAGCAATCTCAAACTGGATGCTTTCTGCGGGGTGTTCTGGACCTATGTCTACTACGTCTTCCAGGGCTTGCTGCACCAGGGGTTAAGGGGCCTTTTGTTTTTGGTGGGTTTTGGACCCCTCCCTTACTCTGCTGCCCTGCAGAGCACTAGGCTCCTCGACCAGGTGGGCTTCCTCGAGGTCTTCCAGTCTGACCTTGGGGTTTTAAAAAAAACCACCCCCAAAACTGAGCAGCTCAGAATAAATCCCCCTAAAATGGTGACATCATAGAATGATAGAATCATAGAGTTGGAAGAGACCCCAAGGGCCATCCAGTCCAACCCCATTCTGCCATGCAGGAACTCCCAATCAAAGCATTCCCGACAGATGGCCATCCAGCCTCTGCTTGAAGACCTCCAAGGAAGGAGACTCCACCAAAATCTCGGAGGAAAGAGTGTGTTCCACTGTCGTGGAGAGCAGGGAGCTTTAGCAGCAGCGATGGTATCTGAAGTCATAGAATCATAGAATCATAGAGTTGGAAGAGACCACAAGGGTCATCCAGTCCAACTCCCTGCCATGCAGGAACTCCCAATCAAAGCACCCCCCAAAGTCTCCCAAACTTTACACAGTTTACATGGGAACAGCAGACAATATCCTGGATTGCATATCCTGAAGCGATGCCATTAACACAGAACAATACCTATGCAACACAGAACAACACACAGTTCACCTGGGAACCACTCCTCCCTACCCAGGGTCTCACAATATATATACAACCAGGCTTTTCCATTTCAGTTTTCTCTGAAGATGCCAGCCACAGATGCTGGCGAAACGTCAGAAAGAAACTCTTTCAGAACATGGCCACACAGCCCGAAAAAACCCACAAAAAAAACTATGGATGCCGGCCATGAAAGCCTACGACTTCTCCCAAACCTCCTCCTCCATCACCCTTCCTTCCTTCCTTCCTTCCTTCCTTCCTTCCTTCCTTCC